GACTTGAGCTTTTGGTCCCAGCTAAACGACGCCGGCGAGTTGGTCGCGAGGTAGTTGCGGAGGTCGCCGAGGTCCATGTACTCGACGACGCACTCCATTTCGATCGGACGGCGCCAGCTCGCGCCGACAAACTTGACGATAAAGTCGCTGTTCATGCTACACAATCACGGAATCGTCAGCCAAGTTGTCGATCCCAACCGAGACTCGAGTGCGTACCGCGCCACGAGCTTGATCTCTTCGATAAACTGAAAGACGCTGGCGGGCGACTGGTCCTTGAGCTTCTTGATCGCGACTTTCTCGTTGCCGTGCTGCCCGAGCCACACCTCGCCGTACGCGCCGGACGAGATTGGACGCTCCGAAATGACTGTCAGATCCGAGAGCTCGAGCTTGTGGGGCCGAAGCGGCGCGACGTCGAGGAAGATGTCGCCTTCGGACATGATCGAGGTTGCTGTCGGGAGACCGCCGCTCGATGGAGCGTGGCCGCCCGAGCCACCAGTCGACGTGCGTGGCGGCACAAATGGAACCGACCCGCCGGTCGGAGCCGAGTAGTCGGAGCCGCGACTGCTCGCAACATACGTTGGCGCATAATGGCTCGGCGGAGCCGGAGCGGGTTGCTTGGGCGGTACGTACAACGGCGGCTCGGGCGACTGGTACTGGTACGGCTCGGGCTCCATCGGCTGGTAGACGTACGCCTGCGTCGTCGGCGGCGCATACTGGTACTCGGCGGTCACCGGCGGCGGCTTGTCCGCTTGGCGGCGTCGGATGAGCAGGACGACAAGCACGACAATGACGAGACCGCCAACGATGAGTCCAATGATGAGGCCCGTGCCTACGCAAAGCGAGCGTCAGACACTCAGATCTGGTAGACGCGAGAGCCTACTGGCGCCAGACGACGAGTTATTGTCATCGCCAGACTTTTGCGACCCGCCGGACGGAGTCGGTGATTTCGTACTGGGTGCACTCGTCGTCGTGACGCGGGACGCTCCTACACACGAGTTGATACATTGAAAGAAAATATGAAATCCACCAACCAGGAGTCGCGACGCAGACGTTGATCGTGTAGGACGCGGACGTTGCCCAGAGCGACCGAATCTGTCCGTTGATCGCCGAGCACGCAGACGAGCTCGTCAAGATGCTCCGCGAGACGACAAAGCCGACGTAATTGTCGGTATCGCCGTCCCATTTCTTGAGGGCGTTGAGTGCAGCGTACGTCTGCGGCGTCACGGTAAAGTTGGAGATGGGGCAGTCCTTGATCTCGCTATATGGACTATATATGAGCCGAGGGCGAGGACATGGCGACGGACAAGAACGCGAGCTGCGTCGAGAGCTCGACAAAGGCAAAGGTCACGAGCGGGTTGAAGCCAAGACGCCTACACACGTTGCAGCTGCGGCCGCACACAAGACGAGGACGTACACGAACGTGACAGCTGACCAGTCCATGTTGCTCACTTCGGTCAGCTCATTGTTGTAGAAGTTCCTACATCAAACAGAATATGAGAATCCAACGACCAATCCAAAGCGGCGGTTCATACAGCAAGGTCGGCGTCGGCGGAATGCCCGCCAGCGTCTTGAGCGAGTTGGCCCCAAACGCGCTAAAGAGAGGCATGAGACAATGGAGTCATGACGTGTACGTACAGCACACGGACGCTCGAGGGTATGCCGGACGGCAGCCGCGTCAGATAATTCCAGTTCCAGTTCCTAGATCCAACAGCGTTTCTCGAGCGCCATCAAACAGGAAATGCATACAGTGTTTTGACGCCCGACGGAAACGTAAACGTGCTCGGAACGCTGTAGAGCGAGCAGTTGATAAAGTCCCTACTCGCCAAATAACGTCATATCGCAAACAAAGGAATCGGCGGTCGTACAAGGTGGTGAGCGCTGGCCACGGCGGCGTGATTTGGCTCAGTGAAATCGACTTGATGTTTTGAAAGTACCTAGTCCATTGTCAATAGTGTCATTCCGAATGACGTTGTTGTACATGTTTTCGAGCGTCTTGGGCAGCACCATTTGCGAGAGGTCGATCGTCGATGTGTTTTGAATCGTCCTACGCAGCTCAGATGAGTCGAATAATGCGATCAACTAGACTCGTACAGGTCCGGGTTGGGGTAGTTGGCCAAGTTGCCAAGCGCTTGAAAGTTGGTGAACAAGTCGTACGACGCCTTGTACGTGAAATTGAGCAGCGCGCAGTCGGACGAGCGCACGATGCACCACTGCTGGCTGCCGCAGTTGCTGTCGGCGACGATCACTTCCTTGGCGAGCACGGCCGCGTACGGGCACGCGGCGTTGGCGACGCCGGCGAGGCCCAGCACCAGCGCCCACACTTTTGTTTGCATGGCGCAGAATCCAAAGTGATGTGGGTGCTGCCCACACCAGGCCACAGTAGTACCTTCAACAAAATACGCGGGTTCAAATCCAGTTTTCGTTCCAGGTCCAGATTCCGACCAGGCCTTTCCTGGCCGTGACTAAAGCACTTTGTTCGTTGGTGCTCGATTGGGCTGTTGCTCGAGGCCCTAGAGTGAAAGCACGTCCAGGAAGTCCTCGTTGCCTCGTGTAGCATTGCGATATGCCAGCGGATTCCCACGCGCAGGTAATTGGGCTCACTGAATGTTCGGCGGAGATGGGATCAACTGAGTGCGCTGGGAAGCTCTTGGCAAGAAGCCATTGCGCACGGTTGTGAGGCGCGCATCGAGACGACAGGGTGCAGGACTAATGTCAGCTTCAAGAGAACAAAGACGCAGCAATGCTGTTTACAGGCACGTGGTCAGAACGGAGAATCCGGTGGTCAGCGCCGCGACCCGCGTTCTTGTCCCTCTGCGACGAGATGGCGCAGAGCAGGGCGAACGATCGGTTGCAAGAAAGATGGCTTGCACGAGCATTATCACTGCAGGGCATGTCGCTGCTGCTCACTGAATGCTACAACTGCGATAGATGGTCTTTGCCGTGGTCATCAGCCTCGCCCATGCCGTTTGGACTATTTGAACGTTGAGATTGAGCTGTAGACGTGTAGACGTGGGTCCGAGGGAACACACGGTCGGTACATGAGGCGTCCAATGGTATTTCAACGTCGGACGACGATTGCTGGAGAACGAATGGCAACGTCAAATTTTATGATTGCCAAAATGATATTCTCCAATGCAATTCTGTCTGTCGAACTTTTTTGTCCGAAACGCGTCTAGATCACGTCAGTGATAGCACATTCTCTTGCACTTATTGTATTGCACACAACTAGTCGTACTCGAATGCGACGCCTCGTCCAACGCGAAAACACACATTGATCTGAAAGAGACACTGCGATGCCGGGTCCTTGAACACGAGCTTGCTCGGCATCAGGCAAACTGGCACCTCACAAGAGCCACTTCGCTAAGAAAATAGCAATCGAGATGGCTGCAGGAAGGGCGTTAGTCGTTCGATCGTCTGGCGGTGCAAACTTGAAAACGAGATTAGGCGTTACATTTCTTCAAGTCTCCAGGACTATGGCGGTGCTCTTCTGGCAACGTGCTCGAGGCGCATCGTTGTTCTCTATGGCCTTCCGATGAGCTTGACCAGACTGTTGAACCGGTCCGAGCTCAGCCGCACGTCACTGATCATCACGCAAGGTTGTACGGTTACGTAGATGTGCTTAGTGTGCAGAGAGTGTTCCAGGGAGCACGTATGGGCTGGGTACGCTGCGCGCCTGCTATGCGTTATGGCCTGTTACGTTATAGGATTTTAAGGCATTAACATACAGCGGTATCGAAATTAGAAGAGGGTTTATATGACCTCAAATCCTGCGTTGTGATTGGCCGAATGGACCAGCCCAACTTCAACGATAAAACTCTATATTATTTTGTTTGACAGGTATCAGCAATTGCAAGTGCAGCATTGATTGGTAATCAACTCGGAGGCATTGGGCATCACTTGCTAATCACCCTCGGTTGATTAGTAACCAGCGGAGCAATTCTTCTGGACGGACTTGGCGGCGCAGCTTCAGGGTCTGGAGCTGGAAACGCTGACTCAGCTACATAAATTATGTTTATCTAGGCCACACTGCACTTTTCTTCGTGGCCGAAATAGCTGTTCAATTTCTCAAGATATCAAATTGATAATTACTAATCAATCCCAGGACTTCCTTTGTTGACTAATCAAGTTCTGCATCCCCTCTCGAATATCATGCAGAAATATATTCATCACTTCGTGGAGGATATACTATATTAGAGGTTCAGCATGTCTCAACGCCGGTCCATTCGGCCAATCACAACGCAGGATTTGAGGTCATATTAACCCTCTTCTAATTTCGATACCGCTGTAACAGTGTTAGTAACAGGTTAGTAACGTAACGTTATTGCGTTATAACGGTTAGGTCCGCATCCTTGCATCACGGCTTTATATATATATATATGAACGTGTTCCGCGTTATCTTCATTATGACACAAAGACTT